AAGTTAATAATGGGAACGAATTATTATACCATAAGTGAATCTCAATTAATCCACTCGTATTCTGTCGATGTTACAGCGATAAAAAGATGTTATTATGCTGTCTATTCTCATGATAAAGTCTGCGGTGAGGTAAGATTCTTACTCAACATTAATAAATGTTGACCATTGCAGTTACAAGGCTGAGTGCTAACAGAAAGTCTCCATCTAGGATATTTTTTATATATTGTAACTGTTAACCAAAAATAAGAAAACTCGAAACTATCTAACTAACTCACCTCACAACGACGAAATCAAGAACACAATTAATACATTGAATGTCCAAGTAATAGTAATGTTCAACCGGTCAATAATTTAAGATTATAAGAAATCAAAGATTATAATATAAACGTATCAATTCATTAGATATATAGAACGGTTATGTAGCTGTTACAGTGACAAGTAAAAAAGGAAACAATAACTGTGTTTGCAATTTATTGAGTATCTATGTAGCCATTATTTAAGCCCTTTGTGTCCGTTTGCATATTCAAACCATTTGATTGGACATGTATTTCAGTACTCTCGTATATTATCCATATATTCAAAATTTCACAGATTAAAACACGGATATATTAATTATTTTCAATATACGTGTATATGTATATACCATGTTTAAAATTATAATTTCTAAAAACAACATTATAATAGCTAATAAAATTATTAGAACAAATATAGAAATATAGAAAAATAGGCTTGTGTATTGTCATTAGAACAAGTTGAATATCATTGACAAATTAGGTGAAATATTTTATTAACGTACGGAAAGCATAAAAAATTTGACCTTACATTAAGATACAATCTCTCAATTATAAAATACCTGACATAGTGTAATAAATATTCAATTTCATTGCCTGTTTGATTGATCTAGTTTATTACAGTAAGTTTTCAATGCAAGTAGATGTTTGAGAAGCCGATATATTCACGTCCTACACATAATTTCGGAGAAATTCCTTTAGTGACTCCCTGGATACCAGAGATAACACAAACTCTCACCATAATCATTTTTATTTATTAAATTTTTATTTAAGTCTCTCCAAGAATTTTCAGATTTGATAGTCGTATCATAAATAAAAAAAATAATCACGATTTGTAATCACGAGTTTGCGCCAATATAATTTCCGCAAAGTTCAATGGTTTGAAAATGATTTGCTAAATAATTTGTAAGCGCGCAATAATATCTGCGAGCATTTCCGACTTCATGACATCGTTGTCACGGACACTATCAAGCATCTGAGACATTTCTTGATCAAACACACCTCACATATCCCCGACTTCCGGTATGGATGACATATAGGAGAAATACCGGAACTATCTGTCCTATAACACATCACTCACCATCTCTCTATTCGAATTGAATCCACCACCCACCCTTTACTGAGACATACGTGGGACGCACGACCGCAATTTACGGTAGGTCAGGTTCGACGGATATCTACTCCTCTGCAAGACCCCGCATCTTCCGCTCTTATGTCAATGGACAAGTTCTAGGAATATCGGCGCCACCATTCGCGAAAAAACATTGGAGTAAAAGCAGTTTTATTGTATTATAGTAAGCAAGATAATACTCCTGGTCGACAGAATAAATAATGACACAGCCTAGAATTGTAGCTCATAAATATAAAATGATTAATAAGATCGACGAGAAAAAAGGGAAGAAAAGACTATTGAACATGATTAATAGCACACGACTAAATGAAACTGTATTGATTGTAGCAGAAAGTATTAAAATAAATTAACGTGTACAATTTAAAAAGTGAATAGACATGATTGAGACACTTACTATCGCTAGATCTCGATATAGATTGTCTTAATTAATTGTTCTAAATTGTATAAGCTTCAATTTCTTCTTACAATTATTATACTTAGAATATTGTACAATTTTCTTAGATATGCTTAACTTTTTATTGAGAAACTTTTTATTCGGAATTAGAGGAAAGAATACAAAAGACTCATACGATCTGTAAGTTAATAGTTGATTGCAAGCAAAAAAATATATTGTATTTACAGAAGAAATATACTCTTCTTTATCGATATTTCCGACATTAATATTTTTCAATCATTTATCATTCTTTTTGTTAGCTGTCACCGGTTTATATTAACTTCATTTGAAATCTGACAATCATCTGGAATGTACAGTATATGTATCGAGCTTTCATAGGTATTTCATATATCTAATTGTAATGGAAATATAATGAAAACGATATGATAGATTGGACATTGTTAGAGAGAGAGAGAGAGAGAGAGAGAGACCAATTTTTATTTGAATATAATTTAATTTAATTTTCATTTATACCTTCTAAGACCATATTTAAAAAAAATTTATTTTATAAAAATAAATAAGTAAAAATTGTAAGAGCAACAGATTGACAGAGGTATAATAATATATGCGTAGAATTAATTACATTTGTCCTGTTATTTTTGTTTGTTATACCTTGTCGAGTTGTGTAATGTGTATTTAAAATATTTAAGCGAGGTCAACAATTTCATTGCCCGAGTGAAAAGTTAGTCAGCCCGTTAAACTACCTTTTACGATTCTCGTACCGTGGTTGTTTCTACATTGCGCCAGCATTAAGCAGATTACGCGACGAAGTTTTCCAAAGGGCAAATGTACGTTTTACTAAATAAGCAGTTCACTTTTTCGGTGACAAGCGTCATTCGCAAAATCTCGTAATTCCGGTTCAAGATGAAAAAGAAAGTAACGTGACAAAATTACAAGACGTAAAATGAGATTCGTGCTAACATGCTATAACTCCCGAACTCCTTTTCCGTCTCTTCGAAAGAAGGCAGGGTCGACAGCCGCCGAGCTTCACGAAACATTTCGTGTACCTTCATAACAGAGTTTGGAGCTAACAGCGTTACTAGCGCACGATACTACCGTGTAACTACATTATGTCTTAATGGATCTTTCGACTGCGACAAAGGGGCGATAAATGCCGCTGGACACTTACCTGCGAGCATCGACTTATCTTAATTGTAAAAGATGTCGACCACCTTCTTGTGGTTCGTATTTGTACAATAAGACCAGGCATATTTCTATAGATTTGTCATATAATTGTTACATTTGTTACACAAATTTTATAATTTTTTACACGCCGTCTTGACCGCCCGTAATACCGACGTAGATAAAACGCGCTCAACCCGAAGACTTCTCTAATCTCGTTTGAGACCCCATTACGTGCCGATGGAATCAAATTACTAGGTCGGCTTAGTCTGATCGTTTTTCTTTCGCAATTTTATCTCATGGCATATTTTTAAACACACTTCGATATTGTTAGACATTTCGCGCGTTCTATTGTTCGTAAAAATGAATATTGATTTCTTATTTAATTACACGTCAGATATTATGAATTCGTTATAAATAATATTATAACTTAATAATAACTTTAATAATAACTGATATTTTTATTAACCTCAATGCTTAACGTAAACAAATTTTATTCGTGCATTCTGAAAAATAAAATACAAGAATATATGTTAAGTTTAAATCTACATATTACCACTCGTTTTGTACGCAAGTGTAAGCAAGATCCGTGTAAAAAGAAATGAGATTAACGAGCTTTGATACGGGGTAAGCTTTAAATTCTTAGCGTAATTAAAGGGAAGCCCCAAAGTAGCTCGTAAATGTAATACAGTGTCACAGTTATATTTTCTGGAACGTAATATCCTCCATCTGAATTTCATTTGTGCTTGCTTGCCAATTTAATGAAATTATTTCATTCCTGTAAGCCTATTATATTTGGAATTGAGAACGTCGAATCTTCCAAGTGTAAAATCATCCCGACGGTAATATCGAGTTAGCCGGTCGAGAATTTACGTATGAATATTTCCGTTAGCAAATTACTTTATTTTCCAATTACACAGACGAGCTTTATTACGATCACTATAATATTTCGATAATTATTGTAAATTATAATTAGGGCGTATTATTATATACACGCGTAATATTCCTTTGTTACAAAAACAAGTCTTAGGTAAGAGTTTTGCGAATGCGGATTGAAATATAAAAAATTTTTGCAGAAAAACAACAAAACTTTTCTTTGCGCGAGATATACGAAAGCTTTTGATGCTGGAGAGTTGGAGAGTGGTATCTGTAATACAAGCGAATAAACTTTTTGCCTATAAATAGCGAAAGGCTCAAATAGTTTTACGACTTACTTGTCTGTACTGCGCGTTACCTGATTTATCCGCAAGTACTTTTTCGATTTCAGAGATAGAAAAGAAGAACGTAATAAAAAGTATGGATCTCGATATTGATTTTGTGTATTACGAAGAACACTCATCCTATTGCGTTACGGTAATACATATGCAGAGGAAATATTTGCAAAAAATAATTTGTATAAATATAATGTTAATTCAGAGAACTAGTCACTTGATTTTTTAACATAAATAAGTATCTGGAGTGTTTTTTTAAATTTTAATTTTAAAGTTAAAATCATTATTAATAACAACGTATTGTATATTATTGTTTGTTTTCCGATTTATTTTATTTAATATGTTGAGAACATTTATAAACATAAAATTTAATCACAATTTGTTTTAAAGTAAATAGAAACCAAACAAATATCAAATAAAATAAATACGTTAAATATGTTAGTATTTCTAAAATAAAAATTTTAGTTAATATACGCTTTTTTATTGCAAGTTTTCGACGAAATTGCATATTTAAAGATAAAGAATAGTTATTAAAAGAATGTATATCAAACGATATTTCATAACAGTTTATATTTTCCATCATTGGAATCTAAAAATATTTCAAGTGTTTATTCTCGGGTTAAGTGCATCTCTAAATTAAAATTGCAAAATAAAGACTTGCAAAATCAAGCTCGACAAAAATTGATTATCCACGAATAGCCTTTTATTTTCAATTGCATTCACTGTCTGTGTAATAATAATAACGCGCGTTCTATCGTTTTGATTTCTGACGATTCGGACTCAGTCTCACGACACGATCTCTTCTTTTGCAGATGAGGAGGAACCGGAAGAGCGCCTCGAGTCGTCACAGAATCGACGACTGATTATGACGCGCGTCCGCACGCAGTGGCATTTCTCTCGTCTCCTCCTGTTGTTCTCTTCCTCCGGAGCCCTTCAGGCACATCACTGCCTGACCCTTCTCCTTCTAGGCCTTACCTCACTCCGCACAGCCTTAACGTGTGACGAGAAGACGAGGCCCCAGAGCCGTGACCTGAGCGCGATTCCCCGTTACCTCGAAATACGGAGACACTCGGAGTGGAGAGACCTTGGCGCTACCGGAGTGATCCCGGAATGGATGCAACGCGAAAACGAAGCCTCAAGCATGGCTGGTCAAAGTGCTAGCGACGCGGCCAGTGACGATCATCCCAGTAATTCGCTAAAAACTCAGTGGAACCACGATGGACTCGATCCGTCGATGACAAAACGAGCTTATTTCGACGATGATATCTTCGCAAGCCGTGTTAACGATCGAGTGTATTCTAAACACGCAAGTAATTATTCAAAACGGAAATCTGACGATCGATTAAGTAATCCTGCGAAAACTCGGCAAGTTCGTAACGGAAGCAATTTTCAAAGTATGAAGCAGCGTGAAAAAAGTGCGAAGAAATGGTTGAGTAATTTGATTAAAAAACGACATGACGTGCCAAAGCTTCAAGTTACTCCTTATTACTTGATGAATCAGGCTGTGAACAAAGTTCATTTTCGCGATAGTGGTAATGAAGCAAGCGTAACAATTTTAGATGGACCTCGCCGAAGTGCCAGCAATCTACCCGAGAGTTCCGTTCACGATCGCGATGCCGAGGAGGCATTAATCGACGTTCCGATCGATCAGTTGGATTCGCGCGAGGCTCCAAGTGTCAGTTATCCGACGAGGGGTCGACGAGATCGTAATGAAGTCAGTTTCAAGGCGGAACGAGCGAATCTAAACGGCGATAATTTATTCGAAACTCCCGTTAATCATGCGAATAAACGCACGAGCAATTATTCGGTCCATCGAAGTTTACGAAGGAGTGAGATCTCAAGCCGATTGAGCAAGAGCGATATTGACGAGCACCGCGATAATCTCGCGAGTGATCGAAGCGGGATTGTCGGTTTCTGGACCGCGAGGCAAACTCATTTAAACCGTCGCAATATACATGCACTTGATAATCGAAGCGACGGCGCACGCAAATTTGGAAGCCAGGCCGACCGGCTTCACAAAAGCGACGATATCGTAATAAATGACGTTCGTAATGAGTTCACGAACGCGAACACGAACGGTTCAGTCAATGCAATCGCGATTGACGCGGTTGCCGATGACTTCGACATTGGCACCATTTCAATCGAGAATCAAAACCCAATCGAACTCAATAGAATTTCGGAAATCGAGAATCGGACTGATGTCGACTCGGAGTACGTCGATAGTTTCTTGGATCTCAGTAGTGCGGAAATTTCCCCCGCGAATTGCCGTAACGTCGCGTGCTCCAAGTCGAGTGGTGACGACGTATCGGTGATTAGAATAAAGAAGTTTGGCGAAACGACGGAATCCCACGAAGAGTACGAGGACGAAGATCATTTTCAGCGAGTAGGCGAAATAACGACGACGCCTGATAACGACAGTGATACCGATATCGACAGCGAAGCGCCTTTCACTAGCTTCAAGGGCTCTCAGAAATTTCCCGTAAAAATCAATCACAAGTCGCCGCCGGTGCCGCCGCAAGTTGAAAAGTTTGACAGGCGACACTTCGGCCCGCACAAGGAAGACGTAGTACTTGAAGAAACATCTACATGGTACCCGAGTACCCTGCTTCCCGATCTACCAAAGAGTCCCAGCAGAGACGTGCTTCATCGCAAGACGAACGATCACGTTTCCAACGACGACGTAAACGAGATGGACAAAACGGACAATAGAAGTGAGGAGACGACGGAGATGGACGAGAAGCGGAATAATACTTACGACGAATCATGGCTACCCGGCACCGAAATATCGGGAGGACGTTTGTCGGGTTTCTCAGAAGTCGGGAACTCCGACGAAAAATTCGTAGTGACTTCGAACATCGCAGACAGTGAATTTGAGAACGCGACGTGCGACAGGAACGATTCCGACAGCAGGACGAAGATCGACGTAACGATACCGAGTGCGAGACCGACGGAGAAAATAAATATAACTATCCTGGGTCTCTTTGAGATGACACACAGGGCAGTACCGAGACCGGAAGGTTCCAGTGAGCTTCAAGCGGCCAAATTGGCGGTCGAGCGTGTCAACGCTTTGGATATCTTAAAGCGCTTTCGTCTGCGGCTTATTTACAATGATACTAAGGTGAGAGTTAGCTAATTAGCAAAGAATAGTATTGTTGTAGTATTTAGCACGCAAGAAAACATGTTTCACTGTTAAATACTAAGGCTGGTTATTCATAATGGGTTTTTTAATTTAAGACCGTGTTAAACAGAGTCTTAAGCTGAAATAAGTTAATCACAGAGCCATGATTTAATAGTATCTTAAAACATTAATTAAGACGATCTTAAAATAAAAACGGACTGAATACCAGGTCTGAAAGTATCAACGTTTTCTTACTTAATAAAAAAACCAAACAAATAAATTATTATGAAAATAAAAAAAGTAATGAAAATCAAATATTTCAGTATAAATGGCAATTATTAAAAAGTCGAAAAATTTCAGAATCCTATTTTTTATACATAAGAAATATAATATTAATAATTATTAATCTAATAAGTAGAAACTGTTAATAATAATTACCTGATATTTTATTTTAACAATAACTGTGTTAATGATAATGAAATAATACAATTGGATCTCTTCTTACACAGAACGTTAGATTAATTCGATAAATTTAGAAACGAGTGCTTACATTATGTCCGAGATAAAAATTACACAATAGAGAAGTGAATTAATGCAAGACAAATGAACGCTGATTTCTATTTGAAACAATTCCGCACTTCCGCATCATTACCGTCCCCGTTCACAATTGATTTCCGTGTCCGATTACCGATACAGAACTTGTGCGATCCCCGAGAAGTTGTACCAAATCTATTCAAGTCTACATTGAATCTCAGTAGCAAGAAATTATTGGAACAATGCAATCTAACTTATACAAGTCGATAAATCGGCTTACCGTTATTCCGCATAAATTTTTCCAAATATCGAAAAATACTTGCATTTATTCTGTTTCATCAACCAACAAAACCAATTGAAGTGGCATCGCAATAAAAGAAAAAAAAACATATATAACACAATCGGTCAGTTATAGTCAATAGATCTTTAGCTTCTTCTGTGTATGTGAGATGTAAACTGTTTTAATATTATGTAATATTAAGAAAAAATCGACCGATGACATTAAATATATATGAATGGAAAATGCTATATTTGGCTAAGGCGGTTTGTATAATAATATTTCTTGAAAATTTTCGCAATAAATTATTTACAGGATTTTAAAGATGCTTATTAGCATCGAATATATATATATTAAATTGCTTGTCAATTTAACTTGTAAAATTATTATTTCAGCGTCAGCTTAAGACTGTACTTCAAAACACGGATAAAGCACGACAAATAATCGGCGCACAGTTTGCTCACAGAGAGAAAAAATTTGCTACGTACTTTAATCCTATGACAGCATTTGCACATATATCGCAAATTATTTATAGGTGTAACGAATATTTATTCTTTTTTGTATTCGCTACAAAACTTATTTGCAACAAATGCACAATATTTATCATATATGCAAATCTGTTTAATAAACAGCAAACAAATTTGACAATTAAATTTTGTAATTCCTCTCGCGTTTATCGTAAACTTTTTCTCTCTATACTTGAATTAGAAATTACATAAATTTATCAAAAATATTATTAGGCACGAAGAACCGAAAATGGCGTTTTCCACTCATACGTTTAAAATTACGTACAATATTTTATTTCGTTTATTTTACTCACAAAATAGACGAGACGTTAATAGGATTTCGTCAAATACGTATTAAATTAGAAAAAAGGGAAACACAAGCTAGAATTGAAGTCCGCGCGAATTTCTCAGATCCTCTCAGTTGTCACTAACACATTGTGCCAGGATTTTCCGGGCTTCCGGTTTGAAATTTATAGTTTATTGGCAGCAGATCTCTTGTCTGCCGCCCGCACCCGTCTTCTCGTTATCGCTTAAGCGTTTTAGAAATGGTACGCGCGTACCATCCGCCGAAAAATTGAGGAATATACCTAAATGATGGCAATTGACGTCACTGGTCGCTTCGTTATATGCATGTGCGACGTTAAGCTCACAGAAGCAATGATGATTTCAGTGGAATTACTTCTTTCTCTGCTGATCAAATCTGTGGAATATAGCACACAAACTAAGCACACGTATATTATATCCATATGTGTGTGTGTGTGTATTCGACGATCAAATTTTTATCAATTTTTCTACAATGATGCTTAAATCACATCATTTTTACGATAATCAGACCTCTCGGCCGCTGAGATAAAATTTCGTATTGGAGAGTCGGCCAAGCGATAATATCGCTTGGAACCTCTTGCGTCGATATATCATAAAAAATAGTTCTGCGTTTGTGAGAAATATTGTATTATGATGCGCTTACACGAGGCGTACGCGAGACGTATGATAAAATATGCAAAAGCTTCGTGCGCGATTACTTTGACGTTATCAGGAGAATATCATGTAATACGCGATATAAGGAAACACTGTGCGGATTTGCATAATGTAAGGCATAAGAGGAAAGGATGGGGGTGAGATATCGTGAAAACGCGTTAACGTACTATGAGGCGTGAGATAAATAATTTATCTCGCGCTTGAGGACAGAGTTAAAGCTCAATTAATCTTGAATTTATAATTTTTAGGCATCTGAGCTTCCAGAGCGCTGTCTGTAAGCTTCTCAAACTACTTCTAATCTCTCTACAGCTCGCAAATTCTCTACTTGCGCGACAATGTCGCACGGTCCTCCGGCGACAAGCCGAAACCGTTGTCAGATGCCTCGTCTCCGAAATAGCTTTGAATATCTTCTGGCAGCGTGAGCTAACTACCATACGCGTTCCAACAGTTTGCGGTGCTTCCAGCGCATACGAAATACTCTTCGTAATGCTCGCTCATGTTGCGCTTTGAAATTTAATGATGGTGATCGGTTCTCGTTCTGTTCTTCGGTTACACAGACTTGCGACGAAAGCTGCTTTAAAAAAGAACATATGAACTAACGAATAAATATTCTACGCATTTCAGACGTAAACAGTGTATAGAGTATAATTCCATATAAGAGAGCAATTCAAATTTTACTTTGTCGAAATTCCTAGAAATTTTTCGCGTTAATTCGTGTAAATATACTAAGCAAAAATGTGTACGTTCAATTAAAACTCTTCTTTACATTATAATATATTGAACAATCCTATTTGCGTTAGTAATGGAACGAGATCGTTAAACAGGCGGGAAATTTTTTCCCAATTTCATCGTCCTCTTCTCTCGCTTCTATTACAGGTAATTTGAATTTCCACACGCGCATTACATTACGTCCATTCGCTAGAAAATAGCGAAATCAAGTGAGACCTCTGGCTTTCTCGATACCACTCACAATGTTTCTCGTTGTACAAGAAGTAATGCACATATGTAAATGTATTTTTTACGCTCGCTGAAGGCAGAATTCTTATAATTTTGTCAACTCTATATGCCATTCCATCGCTAAAATATTTCAAAATTATTCTAATACATATAACTAACTGTGATTAGGTCTTATCCATTTGAAAAAAAAAAGAACCTGCTGCCTGTTGAAATGATCTATATAGTCTCTGCGAGAAGCAACGGAAAAGAGAAATTTCAATTCCAGCACGATTCGCGCTCTGACGGTCACCTGAAATTTGGACAGATTTCAAACGAATTGGCAAATGCCATTAACGTGCATACCGAATGCAGCTTACGAAACAAACTGACCTCGTGTTTACCCTAAAAGAGGGAGAGTGAGAGGTGGCACGAATTGCGGTTTGGTCACGAACGCGGCGCGATTAAACCCACGTTTTGTTTCGTCCGCATTTGGATGAAGGCAAAGCGCTGAGAATTACCACGCGTTTGAAAGTTCACACTATGGTACGCCTCCGCAACATTAAATCCTAAATAGTTTTGCATACACACGACGTTTATTTAATGGTGCGACAGTCGCCAGTAGGTGTAACACCTGTCAAGCTCGAACAATATCCGCAATGCAACCTGAAATTTTATGATGTATATTAATATTATAAATTTATAACGTATGTGTACATATTGTCATCATCATGTATTTTGCAATTAGTGGATACCTTTGCACAGGAAAGTCCGTATAACTCATCAGAGAAGCTGACATAACGTTAAAGATTAATTAATTCGACGAGAGAGACTGTTTGCTGTTCTTGAAATCTTTATTGACATTTGTAATCACGCGCGAAAGAGCTAGCTATCCTTTTAAAATTTCATAACGTACTACATCGTTATGATGCATTGTATTCCATGTACAAAGCCGAATGACGTGCGTAATCTTAATGGAGTAGTTAAAAACGGGAGATGAGAGAACCTGTTAGTCTCTTGTATTAAAGGAGAAAGGTTACAAAATTCTTCTTTAGAATCTATAAAAAGAATAATTTCTTACGAGAAATATTTTTTAATAGGATTTAAATCACACAATTGTAATATATAATAATTAGCAAGGCTATTAACATTTTTTATATTATCACTGAAAAGAAATGTATTAAATTTTAGTTTAAATATTTGTTTGAATTGTACTAAGCATTTTATTTAGGGTAACTCTGGTATTTACGCCGCACTAAACAAAAAATTAATTTATTAAATATTATTTACTATGTTTAAGGTAAACGAACTATACCAGTGGAAACTTTGTACTGTCTACTACTATGAAAAAAAATTAGAAATTCGAAATACTTATTTTTCGTGTACTTATTAAAAAAAGAACTTTTTGAAACACACACATTCTTGCATTTTTGCAATCCCTTATTGTATATCCCTCAGGGGTTGCAATATATACGGCTACTTGAAGGAGGGGGAAGGGGATGTATATATGATTTATGAAAAATTCATAAATAATACTTATAAATAAGATGTAAAATAATACAATAACTTACAAAATGTGTTTACAAAGTTTTATAACGAATAAGAATGATAAATAGATTTGTTATTCTTGTAATTATTATTTATTACTTCATATATATACATATATATATATATGTATGTAAAGTAATAGATAATAATTACAATCTTTTACATATATTACAAATGTTATGACATGAGGTACATATTTCATGTGTAACACATTTATTGCATTT